GATATTGACGAACATTTATGTATTTAATATTAACCCATAGTTTTCTTCATCTTTTTACCCGGAATATGATGGACCAAAGTTAACAGGCCAATTTAACTATCTTATAGTGTATAATACCATTACCTTATGTACAATGACTTCAATGTAATAATATATTCAATATTTACATTGCTCGGACTATCGTCTTCAGCTGTGTTGCTATATTTCTCACGACGTTTTGAGATAGACCACTCTCGTTCCACGTGCCATCTCTAATGGATGTCAGTTATAAGTTATCTCCTGTTAATTCCCCCTCTCCGAGTTCTCCACTGCCTTAACCAGGTATTGAACTCACAATTGTTTGGGTCCTGTCACTGGATCTAACTGCCTTTATCCACTGTGCTATGTGTCCTTGATAACTGATAACTAACATCCATTAGACATGGCAAGGTGGAACTAGAACAGTCTACTCCAGCGAGCGAAATAAAGGGTTCAGTTCGACATTCTAACTACCTGAAGAAGGCCGTGCCGTACAACAACCGAAACGTTGTGATAAATATGGCAACAAAGATGAGGAAGAAAGTCCGAACAATGTAAATAGTGTACATAATACCTCATCTGAAAAATATAGAGAGATACTAACATAATATATTGTCTATAAATATTTTCGTGGTAATTTTTTCCGATGCGCTTCCCCCTTTGGTACCTAGGCTATGAATTTAAACAGATTGGCTACTGGGTCTCATCTTGCATTTGAAATGGTCAGGTATTACCGTAAGTTCTATGCTAATAGTTTCTTCGCTTGCAGTTTTCGTTTGTGGAACTCTCTTCCAGCATGTTGCTTACCAGTCAGCTTTGATCTTCAAAAATCTAAATGCAGTGTCAATCGTTATCTTCTGTCTTAATTCGTGTTCTTTTATTTTTCTCTTTCTTAATGTTTTCCTTTTCTCATATTCTCTCAAACTCAGTAACCCCTTTCTTTTTGGTGGCTTCATTACTTTGCTTGGGATTAAATAATCTAAAAAAAAAATGTACCTTATGCATTGTTAATGAATGACAGATAATTATCTCAGTGTGTGCAAAACCGGCACTATCAGTTAAAAAATGTTTAAAATCGATACTTATTCTAATAGTATAAATTAAGTGTGGTTTTAGCATATGAGACGAGAGAATTAAAATAAGATAGGCTGCTCTAAATTAGTTTTGTCCAACATCGCAAGATGCTACATTGGCAAAATATTAACCTAAGAACAAGTCATACTCTAAAATAAGCTCCAGAAATATGGAACATCGGCTATATATAATCTTTTTCTCGGGCCAATGGCTAAAAAGTACTTCAAGCGAATGAATCCTTTAGGTCTTAAAGAATATGGCACTTCGTCAGATCGTATAAACTGGCGCTACAGAATCAGAAACAAAAACCTTTATCAGATCACACAAACTATGTCAGTTAAAGAATTCCAGCAGCAGCAACAAGCAAAATGGGTAGCGTATGGGACTAGAACGGAAAATAATAAAAATTTGACTTGCCCCGGTAGATTGTAGGGGAGTTATAACTGTGACTAAATAATTATAAACCACCTAACATTTATATATACAAAGATACTTGTAAAAAGGAGAAAAAGTAAGACGTTGAAACAAGACAGGTATTATTTAGACACGAGAGACGGTAATAATGAATAAAATTGTGAGTTTAGGGTTTCACGTAGATAAAATTTGAATCGGAATCCGATAGAATAATTTTAAAAAATAAGTAAAGGGTATACAATGTTTCTGGTATAACTTTTTTTTTTTTTAAAAAGATGTGTGTAATGAATGTCAAGATAATTTGAAGAATTTTTATTGTGTGCTTCGAGATTAATATTACTGTTATGACCTGGAAAATGAAAAGGAAGGGAAATTTTCATTGATGTACGTGTTGACTGCATGTCAGATGGTGAGAATATCACGTGCTTTTTTTTGCAGAGGAGGGAAGTGGGGTCGTTGGTTTAGAAAGAGTGAATTAATGATAATTATAATTGTTAAACTTATTTTATTATAATTATTTTTAACGTAATAATTAATTTTATATATGTATATAAATTTGTTGTTTCACTTTACAATTTGATTTTCTCGTTTTATACCCCTCTTATGGTAGGCTAACTAGCAAGGCCAAATCAAACTAATCTGTTTTAACACTCATACACTTCACTATAACTGATAACCCACTATAGTACTACGAGATTGGCAGCAATCATGTTAGATTTGGTTTGTTTTACGGTATATCAACCTCAATGGGTTATTTAATGCCGACAATATTTTTATTGCTGGTAATATTTTTTTCAACAAAAAAAAGTATTGCTGGTATTAAAACATATCTTTACACTTTCATAGTGTTTTGATTCCAGTTTGAGGGTTAACTGTTTGCCCATAGCTGGAAACCGAACAGGTGTTATCACTCCGGGTCACGGTGGACCTGGGAACACCAGCAATTAAGAGGTGGTTCCACGCTCCTCAAAACCTCCTGATCAGAGGCCTTGCTGTTCGACGAAGTTTATCGACTTACCCAGGATGTCATCATGTAAGAGTTGAAATGGCTAGATGTAACCGGAAGTACAATGCTAGTTTTTTGTTTGTTTGTTTTTTGTTTTTCTCGCATCTATCGCTTGTGGAACTCTTCTCTTCCGGTTTCATACTTGCCAGTCAACTATGATCTTTGGAAATTTAAATGTAAAGATAACCAGTATCTTCTGTCTTCTTAATTCCTGTTCTTTTATTTTTCTCTCTCTTTCATAATTTTTTCTTTATTCTCATATTCTCCGACAATCAATGGCTTTATTGGCGTGCTTTTGGTGAAATGATTTAACAAATAATACCCATGTATCTATAATACCATAATTATACTGTCCATCTCATTCTACCTCATCAACAACTGAGAGTAATCACCGCACAAAATCGTAACTTTTTCTACACGTTAAAAGATGCAAATAGCTATACTCTGAATTTAGAAGGACTCCGTTATGAAAAGTCGTCGAATCGAGCAAATCTGCCTCATTCATAATTATGAACACATTTTAAGCTCGCAGAGGAAATACGTGAAAAAGAAATTGTCCCCTTTCTTTGGGTGCGTCGCGTTGAAACAGTGGGGAACAGGTTATCCTCATACACTGTTACGAATGAAGTGGGTTCGGTTTTTACTAGGTCTCCGCGCTTGTTACTATGTGCCTGGTGAAACACCGTAAAAATATTGGATGCTTCCCGTGATGTTGTGGTTAACAAGTTAGATCAGTCCGTTTCTGGGTTCCGCCTTCCTAGGTCCCTCTACTATTGCGCACTTGTGACAGAGCAATCTAAACTCAATAGATAACAAACGGAACATCTCCAGTTGATTGCTCATTTCTGAAATTGCGAGAATCATTGTTTTATAAACTTCCTCTAATTTTGGAACTTGAAATAAGTGATTGTTTCTTAAATCTCTTTTTAAATTAGTTTTGATAAAAAAAAAAGTAATTTGATATTTTTTTAAAATCTTTTTTCGTTTTTTTTTACGTTTTGAAAGAACTGGCAGCTTAGATTAGATTACTGACCTCGAAAATAAAATGGAATTAATATAATTAAATTCAGCGTTTCGTTTAGTCAGCCATATTTCTTATTTCTGTTATCCATTTTTTTTTCTCTTAAATGGAAGCCAGTGACTTCGGTATTTTACCATAACTTATCATTCTGGAACTCCCGATTCTGTCTTCTGAGTTTAGGAAAATTTAATCACTTTCAGCTGAACGTAAACAGCTGAAGAAACGACTGCTTCTTCTCCTCCAATTGCAGCAATACTAACCCGTCCTGTTTGTGTACATAAAGATGTCAGGAAAAACGAAAAGAATTAAGAACTGTCAAAATACAGCTGATATGTAGTTCAACTATGCAGATCGGTGTTTGTGTTGGCTCCACTTCGTTCTGTTCTTACATAGTCTTAGGTCCTGACTACAGCTGATATCACTGTCTTTACACCACAGCAATGAGAGGTATTTTATCTCTTAGGGTTATTTTTCAATTGCTACTAAAACAATTCGAGTGCGCAAACCAAATGACAGAATTAAAAAAAAAATCCCCAAAATCCTACACTCGCGTGTCACTTCACAATGTAAGCAATAATGACTCTGGGCAGCTACTCGTCTTTCGTTGCTTTAAGTTAGATTTCGACTTTTAGAACTGTTCTATGCCGTACTTGTTCCGCCATCCATTTGCTCAAAACTGACTGGTAGATTTCATCACTGTTTTCCCTTTTCTTTTATTATTGTGAGTGTTAAATTCTCCAAGCATTTTTCTTCTTTTAATAATGCGAATGCAAACAGACACTAAAACAATAATTGGAAAGACATTGAGGAAAAAAGATTTACTTTGCTTTTGCTTAATTTAAGCAAGTTCTGCAATTAATCTAAATAATTGTAAGACTGAAAAAAAAATTTTTTTTTGTCTTGATAAACGGTGTTTCATTAAGACAGATTATATATAAGGGTGTTTCATTAAGACGGATCAAAGTCAGCAGTAAATAAATCAGTGTTATTTGGGAAAATTTATTTATTTCTCTATTGTATCATGTTATTTAACTCATGGCAATTTTGTGTCAAAAATAATATTGCTCAAATGTCTGCCAAATCTGAAAGAAAAAAAAATCATTAGACGCTTAAACTCAATTCGCATTTAAAATCGGTCCAAATTATTAGAACACCCTTTATAAGGATAAAAGTGGATCTCATCTGTATTGTCCAGTTGAGGGAAGCCGACAATGTATTCTGCTTTCCAACTTAGCTTTTCATTGCCGCTATTGTTAGATAAGCAAGTCTAAGTAAAATCTTGAACTTCCATTTATAATCGTGCTATGAAGACACGCTCCACTTCAAATCTCTAACACAATATTCCTACATTTCTCTCCATAATCTTAATCAAAATTTCGTGAATTACAAGATTTTTAATTACCCTAAATATTTGCAAGGATAGCAAAGTATATGTAAACATATGAAGCGGTAGAAGAAAATGACTTCTTACGGCCGTATCACGTTGAAACATCGGTTCTCATCAGATCACCAAAGTTAAGCAACGTCACGTACCTAGATGGGTGATCGCTTGGGAATGCCAGGTGCTGTACTCTGCGATGTAAGGATGGTGCAATAGATCACGACACGAGACGAGAAACAGAAGAGACTAGTTCAAATTCCAGTCAGGTTAGTTACATTGACTTCCGGAAAATACCCCTGGACGTTCATGAATCGACTAACAGACATGACCACCAAATTGTGTCACATTTGCCCCTGCCAACACGCATTGAGTCAGTGCCGTAGGGTAACGACCCAAAAGTCTCCATGATCTGAGGAAGGCCACACCGAATAAAGGATCATGGGTATCGGTTTTTGTAAATCATAATTCTTGTTGGTGTGGTTGTTCAATGCCAGAATTTTTAAGCTCATTTTCGACATTCTACTTACTCTTTAGGCCGGACACTGCCGATTTCTTATTTATCTTGCTGTCAGACTCAGTTAAGAAGCTCTCTGTATGCGTAAGCTGTTATTGCATCACCGTAAAGCTTTCTCTGGAATGTTAGCTTTTTTTGTTTAGAAAAGTGTGGGAAAATTTAATCATCCTTGTTACATCATTTCTATCAAAACCCGTTGAACCAAAAAAAACGAATAGAATACCCAGAAACGATTACATTTTATTAAAGAAACTTATTAGCATGGAGACATACCTCTGTTATGGCTTGGTAGTAAAAGTACCAAGTTTGTTCTGTAGACATCGTTTCAAAAGATGAATATGTCTACGCAGGTCACATGATTAAATATTTCACGTTTATCTTTTCAATTTAAGCCTTCGACAAGAACAATCTCCACTTTTATATTTGCATATTTTTCAGCAATGAAAAGTATATACACTTCAGTCAAGTTATGTGCCATGCGTGATACACGCTTAGGCGATCATGTATCTTTCGATACATGACTGACGAGGCAGATTGTTTCCCGCATTAGGTTGCCATTTCTTTCTGCTGTAGACTAGTTGCCATCTAAGGCTATAGAACCTGGTCTGTTCTGCTATTTACCCATAGTTGGGGGGGAGAAAAAGAGGATATTTTTTTATTTCCAAGGATATTAGCACGTAAGTGAATGTGATGGATTCGACTGGAATTCGAACTCGGTTCTCCGATTCCTCAATTCTGTATGCACACACATGCTTAGACGTTCACCGAAAGAAAAAGAAAATTATAACGCTGAATAAGAGTTTCAATTCTTACATGATAAAACGAATAGAGAATCTGTTAGGATTACGGTACATTTTCGCAGATATAGATAAATACACAGGTTTCAAAATAAGAACTGTTAATGGACGTATCTACAGTACCAGTAAACTATTTAGCAAGTTTAAGAGGATGGATTGTAAAACAAGGAAGAGTAGTGGGTGGCAAATGGGCAAAAGTTACGTAGAGCAAAAAGACAGGAAGTTGATGAGATCCATGACAGCCAAATTCATGTGAGGACATGGCACATAAAAAAGATCAGCAGCGCTCAGACCATATTTTAATATGCTGTCTACCCTCTTTAGGCTTCAATACGAACCTATGCTTTCTCAACCTTATGATCATACAAATGCTGAATCCGCATCACGCAGTTCCATACCTAGGGCCCTAGGGAATCCAAGTGAAAAGTAAGAGAAGAAGAGTCACGAAAGTTCCAGTCGTAAAATATGAGAAGTAACGAGAAAGCCGACCGCGTTAAATAGTAATACTGAGGTTCATATCTTAAAAAAATCCGTCAGAAAATACTGAGGTCGTAAATCAAAAGGGTCAGAAATTCACTTCACATCTCGCAACGCACAACTTCGTCTTCACTAGCGAAAAGCCTAGATTTATTGCATATAAAATACACAATTGTGGCTCACCGGCGAATAGCCAAGATCTTCCTATGCTTTCAGCGTTCTTTTATTGGGATAAGAAAGGTTGTCATTGGTCGTGAGTGGTAGAAAAGCACTAACAATTAGCATATTTCGAGGCTTACTAAAGTCGCCCAGTTCTTGAATCCGATTTTCTTTTTTTGACAGCTCACATAAAGAACACGCATTCTTTTCCGAGGTAAGACTTGTTTTTCGTATTCAATTTATTTTATCCTTGAATTTTTTTGTGTATGGATTTAACAAGGTAGTTCTTTGGACAAAATCCAGGAATAGAATTGATATCGCGACTTCCGACCGCTTGTCTAAATCGTAAACTTGATATCATGAAACTTGCAGAAAAACTCCAAGCTTAATAGTCGCATCAGATCTGATATATCGCTAATTTGATACAGATTTTTAAAACTTTTCGGGGCTCTTCGACGTCGTGTTAGCAAGCTTATCTCGCTAGATCAGTTACGACTGAGTAATGAATTCGATCCTCACTGACTGCTCTACAATGTCGGCCTTGTGCCACTTCTAAGCTACGCTTAGAAAATAATTTGTCTATAAAAGTTGCGAACTGGTTCGCGTGTATTAAGGCAATCTTGATTGTTTTTATAGTCCTCTAAAAACAACGAGGCGGATTCTTGTAGGACCCCATCTCTGGCAAAACTAGACTTCTTTTATTCGACTTCTCGTGTTCCTAATCTCCCATGTTTATTGTCTTCGTTTTCTTTTTCTTCAATTGGATCAGTCTTAAATATTTTTCTATTTCCAAATGTTTTGTCCCTCCGCCATCATTAGCGAGCGGGCTCCGTGATTCTGCTTGTCGGCAGAATACAACGACCGCTCTTATTTTTGTAGGTTGAACGAGTCAGGCGAACAGTTTTCTTTTAGTTTGAATGTTTTGTTTCGCTTTTATTTTGTTATTGAGTTCATCCCCCTCCCGCTTCATTTCATGCCAAAAAATATTTTTATAAGGAAATTGTTGAAAACAGGAAATATATATTTGTATACATTTCAAAATTTTTACATCATGGGTGATTTAGTAGTGCTCCGGTGAATCTGTGGTATTATGGGAAATGTTTGATCGAATGGAGAAGGGTGGGTTTTTTTTGGAGTGAATGGTCGTGAATCTGATTAGCTAAGTGTAGGATAGTCGGTGTTGACCAGCTTGTCCCCCACAAATTAATGTAAAAACATTAATTAAATAAACAGATTTTTAAAACGTTTTGTTACAATTTACAAATATTATTGACACTATTTGTTCGTGTAGTATGTTCGTTTAATATGGGTGAGGCATGAAACCTGAAATAGCTTTTGAAGTGGCTGTAGTCAGAAAACGGTTGAGAATGGCTGTTCTGTAAGATTACAGGGGTTAAGTTATAGCCATTCATTTTGTAAGAGTTAAGGTCTCTGAGGAAATCCCTAAGTGCTTTAATCCGCCCTCTTGGCAGCTCTTAAAATGGAATGTTTTATGATCCCTACTTAGGTTATTCTAAGCAGACACACCTGTATCTCTCGGAGGTTATTTTGGTATTACGTTAAAGCCTAAAAAGAAATTATTCTATGCATGATTTGATGTGGTGTCCAGAGCCGGTGTGTACTATCGCCTTCGTCAGGGGAGGGAGCCAAACCTGATGGCGGTAGTACTTTGTGGGTCTGGCTATCTTATCAACATTTGCTTTTCTTTTACCTACATTTATATACATTACAAATGAAACTAAGCGCAACTGACTATTGAAGGATGACAAATTTTCGCAGATTCTGAAGTCTTTCTTTTTTTTCTTTTTTTTTTTTTTTTTGTCCAAATCTGTGAATTCGTTTTGTTCGAATTACTGCTCGAAAAAACACTATAAAATTTACTAATTTCTATCCATGATGTTGACTGTGTTAAAATTATTCAACTTTTAACGATAAAAAAAAAATCATGATGTTAAAAATTGCCGTAAAATATTGCTGATTTATTTAAGATGGAATGATCTATTATGTCATGTCTCTAATTTGCATTTAGATACATTGTATCTATTTTTAATTTTTCTAGTTGAATTGTTAACCGACACTACATACGTACATAATGAGGTTAAATAAAATTTGTATTTTATATGTATACTACCTTACGCAAATTGACATGTAGTAGAGTAGGGTCCCCGTATCATAGATTGAGTGAGATATCATAGATTTAGTGGGGAACGTGACCCTTTCAGCGTCCCTGATAGTGTCTATATCTTTATTTTATTGTACTTCAGTTGTTGCGTTCTTCTTCTATCTTTGCTTAAGTCATGTCCTATAATCTTTATTTACTGGTACATTTTTTCTGGATGAAAATGTGTTTTTTTGTTTTTTGTTTTTTTTTTTTTGTATCCAGCACTAGTTAAGAACTATACGAGTATCTAATCGTGTTCAAACCCTTCTCCAGCTGCACAAATCCACTTTGTCTAGTCTAAGCGTTTGTATCTACAATTGATAGCAGATTTTACTGAGAAGGCAGAATATACTAAGACGAAATGAGATCACGTACGACGAATCAAAAGAATTATTTTTCCTGTTTGCTTCTTCGTCTTGTATTTACCATTCCTCTACGGAAATAGGAGGTGACACATGTTTGGTTTAAAATCGATGCCTGTACGCGTACGTACGGGCCAAGGACAAAAATTGATCATTCCCTGCGACTACTGTTACGCCGATGTTGATATCTATAAATCCACTGTCTTCCATGCAGTGACGTAGATGCAACTGCATGATTGTAATTGTCGTCAGAAAATTTCCCCAATGAACTGGCCGAAGACAGAAACACGCCAGAGATGAACAAATTCTACACTTTGTTGTATTGTATTTCTTGTGGCGGGATGTGACACAAGGTCGTTTTTTTTTAATGTAATGTGCCTATACGCATATATACGATAAAAAATGCCCAGTCCCCGGTACTACTCTCACGTTCATGTTGGCAGGGAGGTACTGCTGCAAAGTTGGAATTTCCCGGACTAGTCATCCCTAAAATCTTTTTCCATAAACCGACCGAAGACAGAAATTTGGCATAGAGGTGAAAAACAGATATTGCTCACTGATCTCAGTCCGAAAGCCAAGTGAAAGCATTCTGCTTATTACTCTGTATTTACCTACCTACTCGCAGTGGGGAAAAATGTGATATGAGGTCGGTCAAACGTTAAATGCCCACATGTGGAAGCAATAAAGATGTTGGTATTTACTCGTCTCTTCACGGTGATA